TTTTTTGGTTGCAGCCGTCATTGTTGTTTGGCGGGTCCGGGCTGGGGATTCGAACCCGCCACCGTAGGTGTACATGGCTGGTGCCTTAGCCGGTTGAGCTATAGGCGCCGAGCCAGTTTTTACATTTTAGTAAAGATGAGGTCTCACTTTTGCTTAGCTGGTCTTGAACTCGTGAGCTCAAGCAATCCACCCACCTTGGCCTCCCAGAGTACTAGGATTACAGACATGAGCCACCAATCCTGGCCTGTACCAAAAATTTTTATTATAGCTTTATCTGTGATAGAATAAAAAAAATTAAGAGATTGGTTAAATTCTAAACCATTGAGTTGTACTGCAATCATTAAAAGAAAGGTAGAGCCATATGTATTGTCAGGAAAAGATGTTCAGATATGTTAAGTAAAAATAAGTTTTGGAACTATGTGTGTGGTGTTATCCTACTTGTGTTAAAAAATACTATATTAACATATGTATAGAAAAATCTTCTTGGAGTTTCTCTCTGTGGGATGAGATCGTGACAGATTCTGTGTTATATATATTTATAAATTTATTTTTACTATGAGTGTGGATTAACCAACAGAAAATAAAAAATATGCTCATGTTTCGAAGCATCAGCTCCTGAGTAATTGTAGGCTCTTGGTCAGGAGGAAGGGGCTCAGGCCCTGCCCTCTGATGACTCAGTTTCCTTATTCGCAAACCCTCTGTCACTTACATTGTTTCTAGTGAGCTTTCTATTTTTGCATACAGAAGGCTAAAAGAAGGCAGAGGACTGTCTTGTTCTGTGAACTGTGAGCAAATAGACCGCAGGTATGTTCCGATTGCTCATTACTTTTTGCCAGTGTACAAGTCTGCTGGGGAAAGTGTTACTTTATTGGCCAGAGGAGGCCTTGTTCCCAGGAGTAGCTAAGCAGCAGTGGTGTGAATCCAGAGAGACCTCAGCATCATGCCCTGTGCCATGTCTGATGCCCACTGTCTGTCCTGCCTGTGTCTAGTTCCAGTGTGACGGCCTCTCAGCCGCCGGAGTCGCTGCTGCAGCCGGGTTTGCAGAAGTCTGTCTCCAATTTGCAGAAACCGACACCGTCAATCAGTCCAGAGGTAGGTTCTGGCACCCTATCCTGGCTTTTTGTTGGGCATTGTAGCCCTTGAACATCCCCCTTGAGGGACTGGTAGGAGTTGTTGTGGGGAAATGTGGTTTTGTATGACCTGTTTGTTCCAGAGGCAAAGCTGATGAATGACTTTAGAAAATGAGCGTGGGTAATTGTTGTGGTCACTGATGAAGAAATTTGCCTTTTTTTTTTTGAGACAGAATCTCACTTTCTCAGCCCTTGGTAGAATACCCTGGCGTCATAGCTCACGGAAACCTCAAACTCTTGGGCTCAAGTGATTCTCTTGACTCAATTCCAAGTAACAGGGACTGCAGGTGCCCGCCACAATGCTCAGCTATTTTTAGAGACGGGGTCAGTCTCACTCTTGCTCAGGCTGGTCTCAAACCCATGAACTCAGGCAGTCTACCCACCTCAGCCTCCCAGAGTGCTAGGATTACAGATGTGAGCCGTCACACCTGGCCACTGATGAAGAAATTTAACCCACAACTTCTGAAAAAGACCCTAGATACATAATAGCACGGGTCCTCAAACTGTTTAAACAGGGGGCCAGTTCGCAGTCCCTCAGACCGTTGGAGGGCCGGACCATGGCCCAGGGACGAGTGGCCCGCCGGCTGTAGTTTGGGGACACCTGCATAATAGGATGCAGACATTTACTGTAGTTCCTATTGGCTTATCTTGAGGTGTGATCACTCAGGCTCGCCTGCAGGTTAGCTCAGGGTTTCTGCAAATACTTTCCATGGAAACTGGTGTCATAAGGAGACAAAAAGTGTCAGGCTATAGAAAAAGGTTGAATGAGTCTGAAAAACAAACCTAAGCAAGCTCCTTCACTATAGTACTTCTAAGTGCCTTTAATATGCTAATGTGAATTGTGAATGTCTGAGGAGAGGACATAACGGACAGTATTCCCCAAATCTGGACAGTATTCCCCAAATCTATTTGTCCTTGGAAACCTTGCTTCACTGAAGTCTCTAAGGACGGATATCTCTCAGAAGACACTTCGAGAAATACTGAGCTACTTTCTTTTACTCCGTGCTTTACTTAAAGTGTTTATCTAAGCAGTCGTTTAACTAAGCAAGGGCTCAGAATACACTGTGTCCATCAGAGTCTAGTGAGGGTTCACAGAGACCAGTGGACTTAGCTGGTAGGTAGAAACCTGGATGACAAGTCTATGAATTTTTTAGACAACAAGAAGAAAATCCAGAAATAGGTATCTCATATTCACCATTTCTCTGGACAACAACTTGAACTGCCAGGTTTTGGTTTTGTTTTGATTGCTACCTGAGCAATATGTAGGTCACTATGAAAGTTTTGAGATAGACCGTGTTATGGACTATTATTTCACTGCAGGTGGGCATCGTCCCCTCTGATTCACCTGTGCCAGTCTCAGCTTGCTCAGCTTCTTGGTGCTGGGAGGGCCTCATTTGTTTTTGTCCATGTCAATTTTTATGTATCTTAAAACATTTGTAATGACCCATGTCAAGCATTCAGGGAAGCTCTGATAAACATATGGACTATTGCACCTGCTCAGCTCCGTAGCAAAGGCAAGAAAGTTTCTGTCTTGTGTGGACAGTGGTTGTGGTGGTAAGGGGTGGATGGAAAAGGATGACAACTTATTCTTGTGGTATCAGCTTTGTTTTGTGTCTCTTTACCTTCACTTGGAAGAGAAAGGTTATTTATTAGAATGTTGCTGGAAAAGACAGATGAACTCAGTGGCTGGGGACTCAGAGGGGTTTGGACAGGGGCGGGCTGGGAACAGGTCCCGGTCCTGCCACTCTAACTGAGCGTCTGAGTCAGTCACTCCTCTCTGATCCTCAGTTGAGAGGCAACCAGAACCTTCCAGGGTGTAGTGAGGGTGCAGTCAGACTGGGTATGCCACGCCTTGCAGAATAACAGTAATTATAGAAAGGGCTGCGACAGGCCCATTCTGGGACAGATTGGGCCTGGGAGGTTTCCTGTGTGTGCCTTTTTGAGTAAGTGGTGGCCCTTATCTCTGAGGCAAAATAAAACAGCTCTATGTGGGCGCAAGAGGCAACCTGACAGAATGTTCCGGTACATAGCATGAAGGTGGACATGGTTTTGTTTGTTTGTTTTGAGACAGAGACTCAATTTGTCGCCCTTGATAGAGTGCTGTGGCATCATACAGCTCACAGCAACCTCCAACTCTTGGGTTTAGGTGATTTTCTTGCCTCAGCTTCCCAAGTAGCTGGGTCTATAGGCGCCCACCACAATGCCTGGCTATTTTTTGTTGTAGTTGTTACTGCTGTTTTAGCTGGCTGGGGGGTTCAAACCTGCCACCCTCAGTATATGGGGCCAACTCCCTACTCACTGAGCCACAGGCACGGCCTAGACATGGGTTTGAGCCCTGGCTTTGCTGCCCCCAGTGGGTGCTGCTTATGGTCAGAGGCCTCAAGTGGTTGGCATGTCTATGTGAGGTTCACATCTACGAGGCTGGCCTCGGAGCACCTGTGGTAACGTGCTCCCTCACTGGACTACAGACTTACAAACTGACGCTGTTCTGGTTTTCTTGCTTCTTTCAGAATACAAATTCAGTGCCAGGTGGACCAAAGTCATGGGCACAGCTGAATGGAAAGCCAGTAGGACACGAAGGTGGTAAGTGTCTAGGTGGGGTTGGGGTTGGGGAAGTGCGGAGGTGGGGAGGATGAGTGCCTTTGCCACACTATTCCAGTTGGGGGTTGTGTCTAGGCACCCGGAAGCTTTGTGGAATCTCTGCCACAAAGGGTTAATGTTTCAGGGAGCTTTTCTTTTTCTTTTTCCTTTTAGAGACAGGAGTCTCACTTTGTCATCCTCAGTAGAGTGCCATAGCATTACAGCTCACAGCAACCTCTAGCTCTGGGGCTTAGGTGATTATTCTCTTGCCTCAGCTGTCCGAGTAGCTGGGACTACAGATGCCCGCCACAATGCCCGGCTATTTTTTTGTTGCAGTTTGGCATGAGTCCGGTTTGAACCTACCACCGTCAGTATATGGGGCCGAGCCACAGGCGCCACCCTCTGATTCTGCAAGGCTGTTAGTTCTTCGTTACATCGAATGTCACTGATGAGACACTAGGTGCTGCCTCTGCTGTTCTTTCAGCATGGCTGTGCCATTGGTGGACAGGCCAGTGTGTACCCACTTCCCCCCTCTCAGAACCTCAGGAAGGCAGCATCAAGCTCTGGACTCAGGCTTGAGTTATAATAAAGAAGCCAGCCTTGGGGGTTGACCTACTCGTTTTTGGACATTGCCACCAAAGCATTCAGAGGGTTATGTGATATTTGTCACTCTTTGTCCTGTCCGGGTGTCACCCTCTGACTTCTGTGCCATTCCTCCTGGCCAAGGCTGTGCTCAACTTGTCTGTTCGTAGCTTGGGTTAGAAAACCAGCTACTCACTCCTCTGTCTCTGTACCCTACCACCAGACTGCCCTGCCTGAGAGGACATACCCTCTTCTGGGTGGAAACCCCTGTGATCAAAGGCACTTGCCTCGGTCTGCAACCAGAAAGGACAAACCTATCAGCATGCCAAGTAGATTTGAACTCTTTAGCTCTCCCTGGGAGCTGGGGACACAGTCTGAATGCTCATGAGTTCACATTGGGCAGGGTTGC